AAATACCAACCAAATGTTTGTGTATGATTCTAGAGTGTAAATCATGTTCATCAGTGCAAACACTGCTCCCTTATTTTATTTTTTATTCTCCTTTTTAAACTTCTTAGTTCAGGTACAGATCAGGCTACAAGTGTATGTAAGAATGCACAGCATGTTTAAGACAGACTGAGGGTTGTAAGAGGTTGACATTTTTGAGCAAGGAGGCTTGTTGGGGTCAGAAAAAGTGGGCGAATAGGCAGCGTGCTCTTGGAAAAGGAGCAAGTCCAAGATTGAATTTCCGCCTAACAGCATTTCCCATGCTGAGAGCGAGAGACAGCGTAAGGGTGCAAGCGCAGACAGTGAGTGACCTACAAACAAGCTTAACAATTTTAACTTTACCCAGGGTGGCAGATTAACACCACAGCAGCCCCTGAAGAAGCTCCCTCTATCTCCTCCCCTCACTTCCTAAATGTGACTCAAGGGAGAATCAGGAGGGGTTGCCTGGATGGCGTGATGATGGGTCGGCCCAGAAGGCACATGGAGGTGAAGGAACAGCAGGAGAGTCATGGTCACTCGCCTGGGGTTTGAAGCATAAGCTTGAAGCATTAGCTGCCAGTAGGGCAGGTGAAAGGAGGAGCTCAACTAAGGTGGGTTTACGCTAACAGCATGTCTTGGAATTTGTGCATGCAGTATGAAATCAATCTAAACAAACACACTGTATAGCATGTTTTAAGAAAAGTGGAGCTGACAGCAGTTTCTCTGACGTCTATGGATTATAGACAGATGAAATCATCTTAAAATCCATTTTGATTTAATCTAGAAGTCAGTTCAGGGAAGCTTGTACAGGTGTAACATTTTCTGGTGTTACATTAAAGTCTAACAGTAGAAAAATATGTAAAAAATGAAGACATTTGGTAAAATAATCAATTCATAAATTTTTACTCATGTATACTTACAATGTACAATTGATTTTTTATATACCTTTTATACACAGTTATTAAGATGTTGTAACTATCTGTAAAGGTTGTTGAAGTGAACTTGTCAGGTAACTTACATTTTTCTTCTTGCAGAACAAAGAAGCAGCAAAAAGTACTTTTTTTTTTTTTTTAAAGGAACTATTCCAGGCTGAGACATGGACAATCATAAGGGGGGAGGTACAGATAGAGGTGGAGGTGAGACGAAAGATAAACAAAAAGCTGAGGAGGTCAGTGATGAAGATAAGCAGGCCAAAAACAAGCAGAACAAGTTGGAGAAAGAGAGCAGCAAGGAGCCGAGAGCGCATCCCAGAAGGGAGAACCGCCGGCGGTGTCAGTGGGCTCTGACGGAGCGTCTGGCCATCAACGTGTCAGGGATGCGTTATGAGACCCAGCTGCGCACCCTCGCTCAGTTCCCAGACTCCCTGTTGGGTGACCCCCAGCGTCGAATTCGCTACTTCGACCCTCTGCGGAATGAAGTCTTCTTGGACAGAAACCGCATCTGCTTTGACGCCATCCTCTACTTCTATCAGTCAGGTGGGAGGCTGCGGAGGCCCGCCAACATCCCCCTGGACATGTTCTTGGAGGAGCTGCGGTTCTACGAGCTCGGAGAGGAGATCATCGACCACTTCAAAGAGGATGAAGGCTTCGCCAAAGAGGAGGAAAGACCTCTACCTGAAAAAAAGTGGCAGCAGCAAATCTGGATGCTGTTTGAGTATCCGGAATCTTCCAGCGGAGCCCGGATCATCGCCATCATCAGTGTCATGGTCATTGTGGTCTCCATTCTCATCTTCTGCCTGGAGACCCTGCCTGAGTTCAGAAATGAAAAGGAGCGTAGGGAGGTGAGGATGCTCATATCTACAAAACCGGTATTCACAGGGCTGCACAAGGAAAGTTATGTCAGTTGCAATAACCGCATGAGTGAGGGAGTAGGCTGATGACAGGGTGCTTAGAGAACACAGCGTAACACTGCAGGAAAGTGATGAGGTGAACAAATAAGCACAAGAAGTGCAGACAGATGTCACTTTGCAGCACAAGATGAAAATGTTTTTATCTCCTGAAGCAACACTGAGTGAAAAATGGAGAGGAAAGCAAAGGCTGAGGAAAGAAAGAAAGTAAAGGAGACTATCTGCTGAAATTATTTTTGGAGTTGCCACTTAATCTGATCCAGTTAGACTGAGAGGAAAGAAGTACGAGATGAGGAGAGCAGTTAAACCACCAGTGGAAAAATATGAGGGATAAAAGAGAGCAGATAAAGCGGCTTGAGAGTTTTACTTATTAGTTGATTAATTCAGATGAAGTGGATGCTTTAAAAGTAGGAAGAAGCACTAGAGAGTGGAAGGACTTAGACGAAGAGAAGCCAGCATGAAAAGCAGGAAAGGAGATGAGCTTGTCTCAGGTTACTCCTCGGAGATCTAAAGGTGCTATATATAGAGGAAGGACACCCCAAAGAGCCCATCAACACATAAACCAAAGCCCGTATTAATAAACACAGTGACTCATAGGCTACACACTGAAAACGGCATGGAAAAGATGGAGACGGATCGGTTTTTCTGATGACTACGGCAAAATTAAATTTGTCTCGCATGTGCTCCGGCAGCCTGGAGACGAGATGGATTGTGGAGGTTCAGGTAGCAGACGTGCATGCTTCCAAAGCACCACCACCACTCCCTCGTTACTCCAGTAAACAGAGATAGATATGTTAATTGTATGGAGGACAAAAACTGCCAAAACAATTAACAAATAGAAAAATAAATGAATATTCCATGAAAGTTCTGAAGAATTTGGGCCCCCTTTCTTTACAGAGTTGCTTCACTTCATTGCGGGTCGTAAGAATTCATTTATGCACAGCTCTTTGAAGGGCTCACCACAAGATTTTTAATTAAGTTGACATCTGGACTTTGACTGGTCCATTGTAACATTTTGTTTCTTATATTTTCAGCCATTCTGTTTGCAGACTCAGATCATGTCCAGACTCCAGTGGTGGATCTGTTATGTCTGGTATTCTATGGCAAATGCTAATCAGGCTCCACTGGTGGAGAAGTAGCACAGGGCCCATTTGAAGACGTCAGGCCCCCAGGCCATCCTCACAAAGTCTGTTACTGATTGTTTGGTCAGAGACATTTATACCAGTGGCCTGTTGGAGATTACTTTGTAGGGCTCTGGCAGCATTCCTCCTGTTCCTCCTTGCAGAAAGGAGCAGACACTGGTCCCACTGATGGGTTATGGGTTATGGTTTTGCCCTGTCCAGCTCTCCAAAAGTAACTGCATGTCTCCTGGAATCTCCTCCATGATCTTGAGACTGTTCTGGGAGACAGCCAAATGCAAAACTAATGAAAAGAAACAGAAAAGATTAGAGGTGGAAAAGTTGTCAGTAGCCTCCATCACAACTCCCAAACCATTCTTGTTTTGGGGGTTCTTTCATTGTTGCCCCTCTAGCGCACCTGTTGTTCATCCCATTACCACCAAAGCAGCCGAAACTGATTAAGAACCTGCTCTGCCACTTAACTGACCAGCAGATTTGTCTTCCATACTAAAGTGATCAGAGCCTGCAATACTCTCGGATACAATGCAAGCCAACATAAACATACATGCACAGCCATCTCCACGTTATCAGTCACTCACGAGATGGAAAATCTTACAAACAAAAATATCTCGAACCATGCATGTTGTTGGTTTTATGTGACAGCCTGGATCTAAGTGATGGACACTAACATCATTCAACCTGCCATTAGTATATTTCACCTTAATCTGAGCAGTGTCTGTTTAGAATTTGCTTTGCAAATGTCACAGGCAGTTCAAAGTATATATAAAGCAGCACACACGAGGACACAAGAAACATATGCTGTTTCCAGTTTATTAGGTCAACCTAGCTAAAGATAATGTAATTTAAGACGAACAGACTGCAGTAAACCCTCCCGTCGCCAAGGTGACAGTGTTTGGTTTGGGTGGATGTGGAATTAGGGAGATGCTGGTTGAGCTGAATGGTTATTTTAGTGGATAACCAAACATCTATCAGAATACAGTTCAAACCCACCACAGAGTAGAGCTGAATCAAAACCAAGCCTGAACATTGTGACCTTGACGGAAGCAGGATTTACTGCAGGCTTGTTATACCAGACATTTTCAGCCAGGTGTATCTAATTAACAGGAAATAGGAAATAGAGTTGAGCACAGTATGTACTGCAAGGCCATCAAATGCTTAGAGTAACTTTAAATAAGTTGTTAAAAGACACTACTGTCCAGTTATTCCAAACTTGCACCTTGTTCCCAGAAAAAAAAGCAGCTGGGTTAAATAAAGTGTCAGGTGGCTGTAATACAATCCTGAGTCACATGAGGTGAATGTTTTATGTTTAAATATAGAGAAACTGGTTTATAAAAGTCTGTGAGAGAGAAAAAAAGCATTAAAACTAAGAGAGCGAAAATGGAGAGGAGAGAGACTTTAGCACCGTATCAGAGATCTCACAAGATCCTGGTGACAGATGTCATACTTCAAATGTGCTGAGGACAAACTTTGATAATAATCACTACTTCTCACTTTCCTCCTTATGTTTACTCTGTCCTTCTTGATTTCTCTCTGTTTACATTCATGCAAACATCATCTCCATGGAGCTGTTTACTACTGCCCTACCTTTCCTCTCTCTCTATTCTCCTATTTCTTCTTCCAAACCAACGAGTGTGTGAAAATAAGTTGAATCTTTTGGGCAGTGCAGGTTATATGCTTTGATGTTTCTTTTAATCTAATGTTTGAGTTTAATCTCTTCTACTTCCTTATTTATCTTGCAGCAATACTCCATCGCTCCTCACCCCAACATATCAAACAACACCATCTTGGTCTCACCTGGATTCACTGCCTTCCAGGACCCATTCTTCATAGTAGAGACAATCTGCATCTGCTGGTTCTCATTTGAACTCATCATGCGCTTCATTAGCGCTCCCAACAAGATGCACTTTTTTAAAGACATCATGAACATCATAGACTTCTTCGCCATCATGCCTTATTTTGTCACAGTGGGCACGGAGCTAGCAAAGGACAAAGGTACGCAGCCCTCCGTGTCTCTGGCTCTCATCAGAGTCATCAGGTTAGTGAGAGTCTTCAGGATCTTCAAGCTCTCTCGTCACTCCAAGGGCCTCCAGATCCTGGGCCAGACGCTGAAGGCCAGCCTGAGAGAGCTTGCGCTGCTCATCTTCTTCCTCTTCATCGGCGTCATAATCTTTTCTAGCGCCGTCTACTTCGCTGAGGTGGACAGTTCTGGAACAAACTTCAAAAGCATCCCAGAGGCTTTCTGGTGGGCAGTCGTGACCATGACTACAGTCGGGTACGGCGATATGTGCCCAGGGACAGTTGGGGGAAAGCTAGTGGGCTCCATGTGTGCCATTGCTGGCGTGCTCACCATCTCTTTGCCTGTGCCTGTCATTGTGTCCAACTTCAGCTACTTTTACCACAGAGAGATGGAGTGCGAGGACACCAGGGTGTACCAGCATGTCTCCACATCGCTCTGGGAAAAGGAAGGAGATGATGATGAAGATGAGGAGGACGAGGATGGAATGGATGAGTGGCCTGAATATATGAGGGATTACGCACCACTGTATGGGCAGAACAGGGCTATTTGCCCTCCGATCAATGGGCCTCTTTTGACAGGCCTTTGTGCAGGACAGGTAGATGGGGATCAGAGAGGCATGGGGTTCCTCTTTAAGGAATCTCGTGTCACTCAGGTCTGACAGACTGCAGAGTGCTAAACTCATGGCAACACATCAAGAAAACAGAGCCAAGATATAAAAAGACACTGCTGAAAGGACACGCAGAGGGAGACATGAAAACCAAGAAGTGCAGTGACATGTGAACATAGTTTTATATGTGAAGCTTTTGCATGATTATACTTGACTCACAGCTACTCACGAAGCATCCGTTTTCCTCAGTAAATAAACAGAAAAAAGTAAAATGTTTCCAGATGCCTCAAAGCATTTTCTGTGCATCTCACATGACAAATATTCCACCAGCTGCAAAATGATTTAAATTATAACCACCCCCTCTGGTTCTTTAACCAAACACAGATGACATGACAGTTACTTACATGTTTTGGTCACAGGAAGAATGAATGTAGAATGACTGTAATGAATGGACCTAGAATTTCCTTTAACCAGATAATTTCTGGAAAAAAAAACTTTAGCACTAAATTCTGCTTCTCCTCATTTTCTGCCAAATCACTTTTATTTGTACAGCTTTCCAGTCAACATGTACGCTGTCATGTGTATAATATTACAATATCTTGTCTTAAATTATATGGAAACAGTATTCGACTACAGCTGTCTGAATTCAATCCCATTGACACAGGTATATAAAATCAAGCAACTAGCCATGGTACTGGCATTAACATCAGCACAAAACCTGTGTGCTGGGAGTTTCGTGGAATGGGTTTTCATGGGCAAACAGGGGTGGCCCAGGACTTTTGTCTATATAGTCTATATACACGTTACATATTAAGCAACCAGCCAATCAGAATAAAGCATTCTGTACAGAGGATGAACTGAAAGGATGCACCATATAAAAAAAACGATGACTATTTTAGTCTATGTTTTACCTGATGGGGTACAATGTTGCTGTTGAGGGGTTGCTGCTGCTCCTGCTGCTGATAGTGCTAGAAGACAGGGCTCTATTGCTTTGAGACTGTAGATGTTAAAAAGTCCATAGGAGAGATGGTAGCTTATTAAACAAGTGCTATGAGATAATATTAAAATGCAAAGATTGGTGACAGTGCTTGAAATCATAAGGCAAGAATAAAAAGAACTGTGGGAAATAAACTAGGCTCTGCCTGTGACTCACTCTTCACCTCTCTTCCTCCTTCCATCTCCTCATCTCATCTATCACTCTCTACTTGCTGTCCATCTGAGAACTAGGCATAATTTGCTATTGCATTAATCTATTATTTAATTGTCTACACTTAACAAGTCTTGCACCTAGTCCATGACAAAGTAATGATAGAAAAATGTTATAGAACCAAAAGATTGCAATTGTGTTTATTATAGTTTTTGTACTTGAATACCTCTGCAATGTAACAACTGGTACATGTGTCATTGTTACCTGTGCCCTTTTTAATCCATCTGGTGAGGGACAGACACATGCAGTGACATTTTATACCTTCTCCAGAATACTGTGTTTACAGTACTATGGCCACAAGTTTTCATCATGGTGCTGATTCAGAATCCTTCTCTTATTATTTATTCCTAGTCTATAATAATAAAGTAATGAGAATAAAAAATACATATATAAATATAAAATATAAATCCATAATTATGTGGATATGCATGTTAGATCAGTTTTAGTGAAATTAAGCCCTCCAGAAGAGCAGGGAAAGCTCCTGTAACTTACTTTAAATAAATATGTTCCACTAAAACGGTGGACAGAGCTACAGACCCATGACACCCTTACCCAGTGAGCTAGGCAGCTAATGACCAGCTATTGGCTTATAAAGGACAGGTAATGTTGTTGCACACACAGCACGCTTATTTGTTTCAATTCGTCAGTTGCCACAACACAACTTACCAACGTGTAGCAAAGGAGTTGCAAAGAGCGTCTGCTTCTCTGCTAGCCATCGGGGCGGGGGGGGGCTGGAGGAGATGTTGGCTGTCCGATTGGCCTCCCTGCTGCTGCGGAGCCTGGGACGGTCTGCTTGCCTCCACCCCGGGGGGAAGGGTAACATCTCTTGGGTCTGGGTTCTGTTTCCCCCTCTGGGGGCGAGGGTACCTGGACCCGGGGTATAGAGTATGTTTGGGGAGTGTGATTGTGTGTACATGTCCATTTATGTCAATCCTTACGTTGGGTGAGTGCTGAGTGTTTGTATATGTGTGCATGAGGGTGGGAATGCATGTTTGTGTCTGTGTGTGCCTGTTTGTCTGTGTCTATATGTCAGGTCGGGTCTTAGACTCCACCTCTCTGGGAACTCCCAGGCCCTCCAAGGCCTATCTCCCCTCACCACACTCCCTGCCGGTGACTGATGCCCTCAGGGGTCGGTGCATTGGTGGTTCTTGGTGTCCGGGGCTGGGCACTCAGGTATGTACCAGCTCACTCCCGGTGGCTACCTGGCGGGGCCTGGCGCCTGTTGCTCGGTCAGGCCTCCTCCGGGGTGCGGGGGGCCCTCGGGCCTCCGGCCTCTGGGCCTGCGGCTCGGTTCACTCTGGCACAGCTGGCTGCCGGCAGAGCCGGCGGGCACGCCGGTGCAGCCCCCTCTAGCTTCTGCTCGGTGGCTACTGGGTGACGCCTCGTCTGGGGATCCTCAGCCCTTCCCATGAGGGTGGCACGGATGCCCCTCTGGTGGTCCTCCTTGGGCTCTCGCACTCTGAGGCCTCTGGATGTCTGGGGCCTGGATCTCCTCCATGCCTGCTTCATGCCCTGGGGGACGGGGCTATGGCTCGCTACATCCTCTTGCAGACCATTACATGTGGAAACCATTTGAATACAAGCGCGCTGATCCACACAGGTATGCACACGGGTGTTCACTGCTCGTAGACTTAAATTACACCTTTCTTGGCTGCTACTTCAAAGCACATTGTGCGCTGTCTGTCCTGCGTGCTGCACAACAACATTGAATATTTAGTATTTACTGCTGTTTACACTTAGCTAGATTAATGCGATGGTGTTGTGTTTAGTATGTTGCTTTGGTTTTTTTTGCTTGTTTTCTATTCTTCTTCTCTCAACAGGTGATCCAGGAGATTTTTTTCTCCCCCCCTTTCTCACTGTCCCTCTCCCCTTCTGTTTTTCTTTTCCTTCCTCTTTCTTTCTCCCTTTCCTATCCCTCACTCATGTCTGTCCCGTCTGTAACAACTGAAAATAAAATAAAATAAATAATAAAACAAAGGTCGATCAAATGGACCAATACGGCAAGCGCCGATGATCCATTTGGCAAAGTAAATCCATTGGGTATCCTTGTTGGTCTTCAGACAACAATTCTGACGGCTAAAGAACCAAATGGGACAGGCAAAAAAAAAAAAAAAAGCTCTGGACTTCTTTAAGTTGCTTAAATACGTTTCACCTCTCATCTCACCTCTCATGTTTAAATCTGGGACTCCCCACCATTTGACCTTAGAACTGAAGAAGCTTCTCGGATGAGAGGTGAAACTCTTAAGCAACTTAAAGAAGTCCAGACGCTTTTCTTTGCAAGCTCCTTTGACTACAATGACCTGGATGACTGAGAACCTTCACAGACATCTTACCAACGTGTACATAATAACCTACTACTCCTATGTCGTACAGTCGCCACCGCCCAGGTGGCAAAAAATGCACGTGCTTTTTCTGAGTTTGGTCCGGCTCGTAACCAGCGCACTCTCCTGTCGAGGGTGAGCATTGGTAAATGGTGGTCATGTGACTGATGCAAGCCAGGTCCTTTTATTTAGCAAAATTATGATTAACAGTTAAATGATACTGTTGAGGGGCAAAGGCAGGACTCCACATGCACACACAAATTACAAAAAAAATAAATAAATTAAAAATGCCTCAAGAAAAGGGCACTCATCAGGAAAGGGGCGGGTCTGAGGTCTAGTATAGACCTTCCCCTTTACTACATATATTAGTATAATATTATAGTAATAGTAGTGATGATAATGTATGTTAGTATTATTTTCTGACATTGACATTCTTCTAATGTTATATTTTGCCAACTTGGAGTCAGGAGAGAATGAAAACTGTGCAGTCTTGCTGATGTCATGATGTTACAGTGCGCTCACTCAGAGGTGTTGTAGCCTAAATCATTAGAGATTATTAGCTAATTCTAGCTTTCTGAGCCACTAGTCTGCTGGTATTACCAGCAAATGAGCTGATGTACTTTGTTATTTTAGTTTGTTAAAACATTTCTATTCCTGTTCTGTTGCTTGTTTACAGTACTGATCCTGATCCTGGTCAGTTCATGTTCAGTAGCACCCTGCTTTCAGTCTGAATATTGTTATAAATTGAAATGGAGCAGTTTATGCCTTTTATTCATTTGTAAGTTGTGTTTCCCTGTTACATTTAACTTTTGGGTTACAGCACAAAGACTGAGAGAGGATGACAGCGTGGGCGAGAAATTCATGACGATGATTTCACATACCAATGATATATGAATAAGATAAGATAAGATAAGATAAGATAACCTTTATTAGTCCCACACGTGGGAAATTTGTTTTGTCACAGCAGGAAGTGGACAGTGCAAAAGTTATGAGGCAAAAATTAGAATACAATAAGAATAAATACAGTACACAACTGTACAGAATAGAATAAAATACTATATACAGTAGAATAAAATAAAATAAATATACAATAATACTCATATCAAATATGGATTCCCAGCCTGCTCTTACAATAATTATCACCACATTATATTGTTATGTTATAGCTGAATGTAAAGTGTTTGTGTATGATTGCCAGTGCAAAGGAGGCAAGGACAGAGTGATTGCACAAGAGCAGGAAGAACCAGCTGAGTAAATGTGCAGATAATGAAGTTAGCTATAACAATATTTATTTTTCACAAAATCATTTTAAAATCTTTTCACATATTTTGCTTGCGCAGCCTTTATACGTGGAGTTGCATGTTCTCCCTGTATCAGGATGGGATCTCTCCAGGTACTCTGACATCCTCCCACAATCTAAACTCCTAAACTCCCACTAACATGCAGTTCGTGGGGTTACTGTGGGTCAGTTGGCGATTCTAAATTGCTTAAAGGTTAGACTACGGTACTTTGTCTTTTTAATGCATGTCCATTTGCTGCACATTTGTCTGAGTAAATTGGATATCCCATGAAGATAAAACTATTATAGAGCAGCTAAAAGTGGCGGGAGTGTTTAAGGTGTTGATGCCCTGCATTTGTCAGAGTTATGGCAGAAATGTGGCGCTGCAGTCTTATGCTTATGAGGATAACAAAGAGCTTGCTCATCGGCTGGCAGTGGTGCAGACAGAGTTCATGTAGTTGGTCCGG